AAGGGAACTGGAACTATCAGAAAGAATCCGTCAAGCGAAACCTCATATTTTTATTTTTAATATCCTTTTCGGGACATTATGGGACCTAAATACCTTGTAACCCAATATCCTCAATCGGAGATTTAATCACCCGCTTTCGCAGACCAATCCGGCAATCTCGGCACTCTCCAGCTATTCTCACATTTGCTGTGGCATAACTGGCATCTGCATTCTTTTGGGTCGCCGACATTACGAAAATCCCAGCGACTTTCCCTCGGATTCCATTTTCCAATCCTTTTTGCGTTCCAAAGGCGATGATTGCAATCCAATTCTCTTTCAGCGCCATCAATCGGGTTTTTATCCACGCGTTTTGCGGTGTATCAGCTATACGCAGCAGATTGAGAGATAAAAACATGTCTAGGCGCCGCGACAACTCCCAGGTTCCTGACTGACATTCTATAATTGTTAGGATATAATTGTATGTTGGGTATCATCTTGATCACCTACCCTATCAATGCGACCCTGTCCATCAGATTTCGACGTGGTTCATTTCAGATGCCATACGCACGCCGCCGGGCGCTCGACATCATTATCGTCGATATCCTTCAGGGCACCTCCGTGCTTCCGTTTCCGACCATTCCGCAACAGTCCGCAGCTACACGCACCTCCCCTACATGTGCCCATACATAACTAAACTAGCACGGGTATCCGTGTTGCACACGGACTTTTCCTAAACAGATCGCGATGCGGCTCCTGATCTCTGATAGTCCAGGCTTGTGGTATGTACTATTTTTGATGTGCATCTTTTGTGTCATACTTTCCTGAATCGTCCTCGCTGACTATGGACGTTTGCTTCTAAACACGAATACAAGGACAAGTCACACGCTACTCGAATAGACTGGCATCGTTTCAGCTCAAGAAGGTGGTACAGAATCTGTCTAAGGCCTAGTCGTAGAAATATTGCTCGATGACTCGTTTCAGCTTGCTCTTATTCTCGATATAGAGATAAAGCCGTTCACAATACGGATGAAGGTGCCTATCACTGTTGCAACAAATTACATTGATTGTGATGAGCGTTTTTTCGAGATTATAGGGCCAACTGAAGATCTTGATGTAACAAGTCTGCAGGACATCCGATTCATCAGGTGGGTGTACCACGATATCTGTCTCATGGATATGCCGTGCAACACAGCCTCGAGCAACTATACGGATTGTTGAACTTCGTTTTACCACAGCATTTCGCGGCGACTCACGTCCCGCTTCCTGATAGCGATAGGGGGCATATTAGCGCGTCCAATCATGCACAGATTCACAAAGTTGTATATGAAACCCATCTTAATTTGATCTTGGACATATCTGCCTAGCATTTCGTGATTGTGATCATCGCACGTTTGGATCTCTTTAACGGAGTTTGGGACCCAAAGGCGACCGGCGGCTGGTGCACGCGCTTGCTGCCATCACCAAGTTCGATTAGCAACCATGATGCTGGTGGTTGGTCAAGGATGTGACCAAGTTTTGATTTTAAATGACTGGTGTACCCGTGGTTTTGATCGTGATACTTCACTGCCGCTGTCGATTGTTTCAAAGATGTGCGTACTTCTTCACAAAAATATGGCTTACATAGTGAGAATCGATACCAGTTTCGATCTCTTTTTACATTCACGCGCTAGAACTTGAAAGCGATGGTATGGGCTAAGCAATAGACGACACTGGTGGCCATGTCCGTCGGTACTGCTCGGTACTGTACCTCAAACGGATTGCGTTGTAGTCGCACCTGGACCTTTTTGATATCCCACGTTTGGTTGTTCATTTGAGCTTCGTTGACAAAAAATTATAATGGCTGTTTTGTAGCCAAAGCGTAGAGGGTTCAATCTAAAAACGTTTCTTTGAACCGCATCGGTTACTTACATAACTTACGAAGTTGCTGCCGTGGACGGCGGTCACGACTCCCTTATATGGCATCATAAGGTGGCTTTGTCGGGCTTACTTTGACTGGGATGTTCCAATTCCACTGTGGACTACATCCACAGGCTTCACAAACAGTGCAACAGTGGTCAACGTATAAATTTTGAGTGTTTTTTTATCTTTAGCCAGTACTCCAGCTTCGAACTCCCATCAGATCTGATCTCTGAACACCATCATCTTGAACCAACAGATATCTGCAACTCGTTTCCACTAGCTGTTTATAAACACCATCATATCAGCAAGATTAGAACCATGCAAAGATCACACATCTCACGTTCCATCCCCCAAAGAGGCTCGGTTCAGGCTATGTCTTTCACCGGGGCAACTCACAGTGAAGCGATGGGTGTCCTTCGATATTTTCTCAACAACACAACTGCACAGGAACTTCAGACCTCCGTTCTCAGTGCACTCTCCCACCAAACATTGTTCTCTAAAGATGTGGAAGATCTCCTCGCTGCTCTCGAAAGGCTCGGAATTGTCCCGCCACTTGCACGGACTGCAATATCAGAAACCCACCCGCGCCATTGTGTGCGGTGCCACAATCCTTATGTGGAACGCGATAACGGATTGCGAGCATGTCGTATCCCCCATACCGATTTACAGCTTACAGTGCCAACTGTCCAAGCGAACAGCGCCACTGGAACAATCAGCACCACCGCTCGCACACATGTGCAACGCAAATTCAGCTGCTGCAATGCCCCAGTCGGCGTCGATGTAACTGTTCAAGGCATGCATTTCGTGGGAAGGCATACCACATTGACGGCCAATGTTGTCTATAACGCAATTAACGTCAAGACCTGTGGGGAAAGAGGTTGTAATGCTACGAGACCTGTGTCACAGCAATGATTGTGAACTTTATGGCCGTTGCTAGATATAGGTAGAGATGTGGAGGTCTGGTTGAACAATGTACAACGTTAGCAAATGCGACAAGCCTCTAGTAGCTGAGGTTGTTGTAACAGAACTTTTCGTTGATCAGCTAGCAAATTACTTTGATGGTGTCCAGATTGCAAAACCAGTGGCCCCGAGAAGTGAGACTTACTGTAATACCAAGAGCGAATTTGCGTCGGCTATAGAGGTTGCGTTGCATCCTGATGGCCAGAAAATCATAGATGCGTGTGGCTTCGCAAAGTACTATTCCTACCAGAAACCCACGTCATGATGCTAAACTTACCAGACAAATGAGTCACACTCCCCAACGCCGTGCTAAATATCTTGTCATGGTTGTTCATTTCGCCAAGTTTCGTATCGAATAAGTGAGAGATCTTGTCCACTGCGGAACACCCCATCTGCGAAAGAGACATTGCGAGCCTCCAGTTTACCGAAATATTTTATCTCCTCGATTCGACGCTATTTTTGCGTTATACATGGATGACCACATCAATGGCGCGGGACAGTAAGTGCTGATGTGCCGCAGGATATGGAATATAGTGCGCTCTAACCGTGGGTATTCATGCAGGACAGTAGAGATACGGGTAAAAAGAAATTGGTGTCGTCATGGTGTGAACGAAACGATGGTCGCCCAAACGGATACCAAAGAAAGACAAGGGGCGATGGCTTGAGATCGAGATCGAGACCAAAGGGGATAGAACAGAATGCACTGTCACGGTCTAGTCGTAGAGTTTTTTGGCCCAGGAGCTAGGGGAGACACCAAATGCAACAAAGTAGCGAGAGGAACATTCCCGTCAATGAAGTCATTTTACCGCGTATGTGATTCCGGAGAATTTTTTGAGTCCATTTTTCCGTATCCTGTAATGCGACTGAAACTAGTGGAAAGTGGAAATTCGAAAGTCAGCTTATGCTTTACGAGTAGTTGGTTCGTATTTTTGAATCATTACGAAGTATACGGGATCAACTGATGATGTCGCGATCGAACGATGCACACGGATCAGTCAATCCCTGGGTCAAAGCAGAATTCTAAGTGAATATTTTGCGGGCATGCCGGCTCAGAATTTTCGATTCCTGTGCGGTACGTAGAACTATCGTCAATTAAAAGTTCTGCAGCCTCGCAGTCAGATATATCCTTATCTGGAATGAAAAGGGACCAATAACTATTTCCTCTTGTAGGATGAATGGTTCCGTATGGCGGTATCTATTCACTATGACTCGAGTGATCTGAAGAAAGAGGTTATGAAACGAAGGGTACCGAGGGAGTTGTCGCAACATTCTATCTACTTACCAGCCATGAACCCTAAAGAGACAGTGCGACAAGGATACGATGGCCTGTCGTTCTTATACCGTAAAGACGACGCACAGCCCATGCAGTACCAAGAGTGGATCGCCCGGTTGCTAAAGGTATTACCTCCCCCTCCACTGGCAGCAAAAATTCTAGACATCGGATGCGGGTGTGGTGTACCGATTTCGCGGGATCTTGTGCAAAAAGGACACGGGGTAACAGGAGTGGACATCAGTAAAGTCCAGATTGAACGGGCGAAAAATCTCGTTCCGAAGGGCTGGTTTTTCCAAGCGGATATCGCGTCGGACGAACAGTTGGCTGATGCGATACCATCATCCGACTACTTTGATGCCATTGTGGCGCTATACGTCCTTTTCCATGTTCCTCTCAACGAACAAGAGATGTTGATGAAAAGAATGGCATCTTGGATGAAGGAGGGAGGGCATTGCATCATGACCGTTGGGATTCAACCTTGGACAGGCGAGGAAAGGGGTTGGCTTGGTAGCGGAGAAGATACCAACATGTGGTGGTCGCAGTCGGGAGTTGAACAGTACAGAAAATGGGCTACAGAGGCAGGATTCGAGATAGTAGAGGATGAACACGCGATTGACCTTGTGGGAGGAAGTGATGGACATCAGTTCTTGATGCTCAGAAAGCGGGGATCTGGAGCGACTGTATAGTTGACATACAACTTGAATGAACATGAACATTCCACAAGTCTTGTTTTTGTTTTGTAGGACCGGCAGCGCAGAAAAGACTGAATTTATTCTGAATGATGTGCTAGGGGAGACCATGCCCATTCGCTCAATCTGGTTTTAGATGAAGGGATATGAAAATTCAATAGGTTGGAAAAAATGTTGGCGAGCATTTGAACGAGCAAAAAGGGCCCAACCGGGAATTGAACCCGGGACCACGCACATGCTCACCACACCAGGTGTGGGGGAATAATCCCGAAGCGCGTATCATACTACTAGACCATTAGGCCGATGATGCTCTTCGAGCTTCAGACTGCTATGGATCGCGCAACTTATCTTATGCGAATCATGATCAAAAGCATCAGTTGGTTTCGCCCGTCCGAGAAGCCACATCAACGAACTGGCCACGTCAATCATATCGCGGATTCAACTAAGGTATGCACATGATATGAAAAAAGAACGCCTGGCATGCCAACAAGGGCAGGATATCCTAGTAGGTCGATAGGCCGTCAAGAGGTTGACCAGACCTGGAGCATTGATACTCTAATTACAATCCTCCAAGCTGATCTCGAGGCCGGGAATTTATCAAATCGGTGCGTATGATCTGATCTTCACAATGTTCACATACACGTTAACCTCTCTATTCACATCTGACAGCGGGATGGACCTTATGCAATTCCTGATTGTCTGTTTGTCTTTGCTGCAATCAAGCCCACCATTCTTGTACTGACAATACCATACTTGCAGTCAGGTCTCTTCGTGTGGTTCTATCTGTTCGCTGAGCAGGCGATTCCTGAGACTGGGCATGCACACCATCACAATGTCTGATGCTGTTTCCCCTGTTTAATGTTTTCATCGATGTCGATCTGGGTTGGAATGCAAGAGTTCAACGCGTACATCGAACCTCGCAAAGCATCCAGGTATTCCGCACTCTGAACTTGTCCATGTGTGCACTCAGATGTTGGAGAGTCCCTGCACCTGAATTTGACCTGCGTCTGCCCGCGCGGCGCTTTATATTAAAAAATTCCTGTGCGGACTCTTAGCTTTCACAGATAAGTTGTAACTAGCGGGGGACGTTCAATACTTTACCTTTATCACGCAGGGCCTGCGGCAGACCTGAAATAATGATTCGGGTACGGGTGCAGCGGAACTTTGCAAGGTATTTTTTGAACTCAACAAATTTACACCATAATTGAGCGTTGTTCAGGCAATACCACAGAGGTGGATGGACGCTGCCGTTGGAACACCGATATCAGTCCCTTCCAAGTTTGCCTCAGCTAGTCATTCGGGATTGTGTGCCACTGTCGGCGAAGTTATCATTGGCGTAAGATAGTACAGCCAATTCACCAATAACTTGAGTCTAGCTCTGTACGAGGTTATCAGGTTATCAGGTTTACGGTCCGCAAGCTTAAGTATCTATACCCATTGCCTCACGCGCATGTTCTTTCAACATCTCTCTGGGAATGCTCCTCGACTGGCTTTTCGTGAAAGGAAGAGTAGGTACGTTCTTCAATAAATCAAAGTTCACGTTCCGCTCCAGTCCACATCATTTCAAACTACAGTGCGTTCATACAGTTATCACTATCCATGGTCTAGCAAGTAACAAAAAATGCGTAATATACAGTGCACACAAACATTGATCGTCCGTAACACGTAGACACAGGTTTCAAAGTCCTGACAATGTGAACAATGAATAACAAGCAGATCGACCCAACCAACCAAACAGCACCATGCCAATTTCGTTGACAAGCCAAAGAGGCTCTCAACGTATCACTGATGTAAGGGGTTGAGAAGAAGATAACAGTCATTGTGGCATTCTCAACGGAGAATAACGACCTTGTGGCGGTGACAATAATGTCGTCGGTGACGTTGTCAGCAAATAAACAGGACGGGCTTGGTGCATTTCGGGAGGATTTGCACCGTTCTCCGGGCTCGATACGCCTGGAGGTGGAATACCTGACGGGTACATGAACAGCGGTTGCGCGACATATGCAGCAGGATAACCGTAAGGATATAATGGGTTTCCGTGGCTGTCGGTAGAGCCTTGCTGTGAGGGAGGACTTTCACCTGAAGGTGTATGCGATCTGTTTCCATGCGGATATTGATAAAGGAGATTGGCAGATGACCCGGGAACATATCCGGGATATTGTTGGTGATGGTAGTAGTGTGGAAGGACGCGAGCACTGGGTGGACCTGCCAGGAGGTCTAGGGAGCGGTCGTGGCGAGTATTATACCAAGATGCAGATGGTTTTGAGTCTCGTTGCCTTCTGTATTTGGCACGGCTCGATTCTCCGGGTTTGTACTCTACAGCAACACGAGAGGAAACCCATGGGAGTTCATTGAGCTCGCGGACGAAACGCTGGACGCGGACGAATTGCGTGCCGATGGATGTATCTGATGGGGCTCGGATAGGTGATTCCATTTTGGCGAAGTCGGATCCGGGTTTAGGGGAAGCGAGTACTGGGCTGCGGATGGCTTCTGCAGATGGATGGAATGTATGATGCGGAGTTCTCAATGCACTGCTCGAAGATCCAGGGTTGTTATCATGCTGTTCGTAAGAATGCTCGTGTACTGCGGATAGCGTTAATCTCTCCCGCCGCATATCTCCTGGAGTACTTGGGTTGGTGTTCCCGTTTCCATTCGCAGGCCCATTCATGGGTATACGGGGGGAGACAGGATGTTCGGGAGCAATTTCCACGGACGGCATATCCATGCCCTCAACATACTGCACGTCTGAAAGAGGCTGCTCGAAGTTGAGCTGATCATTCGACTGGTATCGCGGAAGTGGGTCACGATCCAAATCAATGGTGTTTGTAGTATGTTGACGGGGGTTCTTGCGGTCTCTGAGCCGGCCTTTGGACATGATTTTTGGAAGTCTCCTCAATCCGTTGACAAATCCTCCGACGAAATTTCTCGATTCACCTTTCCTCTCTTCGCTGAAGCCATACCCCATTTCTGGATGCACCATACCGTCTTCCTGAAATTCGTGCATGTGTCTTTCTCCCTCAATTTCACCTCCCGCCGTGACAGTCATGAATTCATCCAACCAGTCAGATTCAGTCTGTGGACGAGAGATGGTATTGTGGACATGATCCGCTGGGGGTGTAGGGATAGGTATTGGCTGTGGCGGTGGAATCCAGCGGGGCGTTTGCGGAGTATGTGCGCTAGACGGTTGGTGGGATATCCAGGTTACGTCCCTAATACGAGTCTGGCTCTGTCTTCGAGGTTCAGGTTGATAGTCTCGGTAGTCACTTGGAGAACGTGGGGCATAATTTGGATCTATGCGAATATCGCGAGGAGAGTCTTGAAAGTTGATATAGTCTGTCATGGTTTGAAAAAGGGTTCAAAGATTTGAAGTTTATGTGCGTCGGGAATTCAAGGCCAGTTATGATGCAGGCCGACTCCAACGCAGCAAAAGTTAATGAGCGTATATGCAATTTTCGTTTGGCAAACACGAGGCAGCTGTGAGGATGGAATCCATACTAGGGTTTCGGTTATTGTCCATCCCTTTCCAATCATTGCTAAGTACATATAGTGTTCGGAAAAATATCAAGATGCAGCGCCAGATTTGTATTTTGTTGAGAGGGTACAACGTTGGGTTCATTCAGACCAATAAATGAGCACTCGTCCCAAATTCTCTCACAGTTTATTTTGTAGCTACATAGTATGTACATCTATGGGCGTTCAGCTAGAAACTTCCATCGGGAACAACACAAATCTCTCTCGCCTCCGTGTATACCACATTACATTCACCTTTCAAGCATGGTGACTAGTATGGTATCTGATATCCAGAAAGTCTTCATATAAGACTCCGAGTGTTCAACGTTTACTAGACCTCAGCATTGCGAGTGAGTGCTTCGACCTCGACTATGTCTTTTTCGATATTCCTCTTTGTAGCCTGCGGGGAATGGCTAGAGGAAACAACTTGTTGGCTCCTGCTAGTGACTCCCGCGTGCTGACCGTTGTATCTGGTTCAACCACTGGTGTGGATGCAGAGCTGTTGTGTAATTGATAAGACATTGTGAAAGGAGAGAAGAGATACGTCGGCGTGGGATGGTGATATGCTAATATCTCAATGAGTGAAGGAAGCTAAAGTCTATAAGATTTTAAAGAGACAAGTTGGGGGCGGACCACTCTGAGCCTCGGGGATGTTCAATTGCTTTTGAAGTTTGAACCTGTTTGAACCTACATGTTGAATCACGTGGAGGTACATTGTAACCAATCTCATCATGATGGATTGAATGACGTTTAACAACTGCAGACCCTTGCAACGTCAACTCAGACCTTTATTGGACAGTCGATCTGTTGTTAAAATAATACTGCACTTCGGATAAGTTCCTTCTTGCATCAAGTTCGTACTAACACTAAGTTATCAATATCACTCGTGCACTGGATTTACTTACTTTCACTTTATATAGTTTTGCAATCGGAACTGCTTACGGCATGTGATTTCTCACTTTCCCCGCTCCCACTGGCATCATATATAGGTCCAGGTCCAAGCAATAAAAATATTAACATGACATCCTCGTCGTCCCTATCACGTTCAATATCTCCTTCACATCCTTTTAAACATTCGACGAGTCTGCTTGTTGTGATTCCGGATAAAATCGACATCGAAGAAGAGTCAAGGTTGTATGACCAAATTTGCGATGTACGTCTGTCAATCTTCGTGTTCCATTATAATCAACGTCATATATAACCCGCAACATGATTGATTATACACAGGATCGATCCCGTCCCCTGCCCCAATCCCAAGCACCTTCATCCCGACGTGCCCCACACTCGCCGACCCGGAAGGGTCCGCCGTCGGTATTTTCCCGCGACATATGGCTCGGGGACAATTCAGGCGAGAGTCGGGCGTTTGCGCGCGACGTGGCGATAAGCGGGTGGACGAGTGTAGGTGACAAACTGGGGGGTGCATATATAGGTGCGTAAATTGCGTCCTATATGAACTTTGCTGCAATCTTTTATGTATAGTGTACGACTGTGTCATCCGGACAAAGGAGGGCACAACGATACATGCTCATAAGCGGTACAGTGCCTTTGCAGACCTAGACGAGGATCTGCGACGGACTTTACCTGTGCGTAGCCGGTCTCTGTTCTGCGCCATAAATACTAACCCATCCTTCTTGTCTTTATTTCGTCTGATACATCCTACATTGAACTGGCATCGTGCAGTACCACCTACATCATTTCATCCCTACCATTCCTCCGAAATCCCCCTTTGCTCGCTACAGACCTGCCTTCCTCGACCGTCGCAGGCGACAGTTGCAATATTGGCTCTCGGCCG